TTGCAAATTCTGTATGACATTAGGTGGCAAGCCACATCGATCCAAATGGTAACTGTTTTTGTATAATTCATTTGTAAAACGCCTAGTAAAGTTTTCCAACAGTCCTTTATGGGGGTTGAAACTCAAAAGCTTGAAGTGAGAAAGACAACCAACTACATACTTTTTTTTCAAATACGATTATTTGTATACACACTGCACTTTTGATGCAAATGCTGGTGCCTAAATCAGTTTCAATACGCAATTTATTTAGGCAAATATTTATAAACACTATACAAGTTTTGCTATAAACTATTTATGCATAGACATACATAAGTACGTTTTTATGCTTATACCTGTTAATTTAGACGTTCACCTTAAGTAGTTAATATTTGCGGATTTTATTGTGGAAGCTCAAGACGATACTTCGTGCAAGACCACAAGTTTGTGGAAGTATTTGAACATATATGTATGTACACATGTAAATATGTATATTTATATACACATGGTATCGGCTAAATTTAGAGTTTTGTGTAACACCATCTATAGCTTATGCCAAATGACTCAACATCCAACCTACACTCTGCCATTGTAACTATGCTCTGGTACAATCCCAAGAAGACAATTTCAAACTGGGTTGAGATGTTCTCAAAATCGCGCTGACTTTTGTTGAACTGCGTGAATTAAGTTCTCTTTGTAAGACTGGGTGGATCGGAAACTCGCGGCTGGGTGGATCGGAAACTCGGCCTTTTCGACCACCCAGGAGATATCAAGATATGGAGTGGCCCAAAAAGTATAATTACATAACATTACAAACACATGTATGCACATTTAGCCAAAACAAGAGCCGTCTTATTAGGCACCCTGAAATTGTGCATATGGAAACTGTGCATACGAAATAATGCATATGAAAAAAATTTAAATAATGTATACGAAAAAACCCAAAATAATGCATAAATGCAGTTTCGTTTTCGGGTTTTGAGAGAAAATGATATGTAGGGCTCACTTAACAACTTGCCCCATAAAAAACGAAAGCTAAAATTTTTTTTCTTTTCACAACAAATTTACAATAGAAAAGCTACAATTAACTCCGTTGTACCATTTTCAATATCGCAATTCTATCGATAATGGGGCATGGTGACAAGTTAGCATTACACCCTAAATTTTGTTCGTAAAACGGTCAACTCGATTTTTTCCAAAAAGCGAAAGCTACAAATTTTTTCTTTTCACAACAAATTTACAACAAAGAAGTATAAGTTCGAGCGAAACCGAATTTTATATACCCGGCGCAGCTATCAAATATCGTTGACTTTCTCTAAACTACATTTGCATGAGAAGCAGGCGGGTTTTTCCCGATTTCAAACTTTCTGACTTAAGACTTGTGCTACGCCCAATTTCTAAAAGTCTATAGTAGTCTTGTTTATTGTTTAAAGATTGTTGTAACTATTTGGAGTAAATAAGCGTCTTCAGTTATTGAAATATCGGAGTTTTCGGATGTCTGAAATATACCGTTATACGGAAGTGGGTGTAATTTTAGTCCAATTTGAATAATTTTCAACGAATTTCTTTCTTGTACTAAGGTGATTGAGTGCACCGAGTTTGGTAGAAATTGAGAGAACCGAGTTTCGTACGGATTGATGGAGCGGCTACTGAGATACAGCATTTCATCAGAAGTAGGCGGGGTCACGCGAATAACTTCTTTTTTAATTATTTTCTTTTTACAATCCTTAGGAATTGTATTATTTATTCCTTTAG